AAAACAGGCTGGTCTCACATGATCCCAAGTCTATATATATATATATATTTGTAATGCAAATTTTGAAAATGAAAGTTGAGCAAAATATCAAGGGGGTGTTTGGGATTTGCTTATAAAAACAATATATTTATTTATTCTAGTGTGACACCGGTAATAAGCATATTTGAATGTTTGGATAAACAACTTATATCAGTGACAAATCGGTAATAAAAAGTTTTTAAAAAAGTTAAACCATTATAACTTATAATAAGTTAATAAGGACTTTGTACAAAAGCATAAGTTGTTTCAAATAAGCGATTCCAAACGCCCTCTAAATCTATGTTCGTTTATATTAGAATTCTTTTAATAAGTTAAACCATTCTAACTTATAATAAGTTAATAGTAGTTAAAAAAAGACTAAATGTTCGTTTACCAAACATTTACCCGGTAAATTTTTACCGATAAAATTTAACATTATTATTATTTACTAATCGGAGAAGATTTTGGTCCATTAAAATGACATCATATGCAACAATTTATCTTGTAAGCATTTACTGTGGTAAGAGTCGTTGCCCTCACTTACCGGATAAGACTCATGATCTTTGTCTCGCTCTTACCATGTACAATTATTGACCCTTACCATATTCATCCAGTAAAATAATGTGACTTGGTAAACACTTATCCAAATACACGTTTAGTAAGAAGTCCCAAAATGTGTTAATAGAAATGGAAGTTGAGAGAGAGGAGGTTGACACTAAAAATTACAGACGTCTTTATAATATTAAGTTTTTATAAATATATTTATTATTTTATTATTAGAAAAGGTTTTTAAATGTTTTTTTAAATATTGAAATTGGTTTTTTTAGTGTTAAATGGATGGAGATAAAATATTGGTGTATTCATATAGAAGTAGAGGGGCAATTTTGGCAAATCAGAAAAGAATGAGATGGCGAAGGGGGGGAAGTATTTAAATAAGGCCTGCCGTGGTCTCTTCTTCGACACAACCATTATTTTCCACCAAAAATATTCATTCAACCATGCCGTCTTCCATCAATCTTCTTCTTCTTCTCCAGTTCGTGATCTCCGCCTTAATGTTATCGGCTTTCATCATGTCGCCGGCCGCTGCCGGCACCATCGCCGGCGATGAGTTTACCTGGATATCGAAGCAGGTCGGAGGAGGAGGATGTACAGGATCTATAGCTGAGTGTATGGGAGGTGGAGAGATGGAGATGGAATCGGAAAGCACCAGGCGTATATTAGCAACGACTAACTACATAAGTTATGGAGCACTGCAGGGGAACAATATACCGTGCTCGCAGAGAGGTGCGTCGTACTATAACTGTCAATCAGGTGGTCAAGCTAATCCGTATCAGCGTGGTTGCAGTACGATTACTCGTTGTCAACGTTGATTTTTCTTCGTGTTTCTGTGTGAATCTTCTTCTTCTTCTTCTTTCTACTCCGAGTTTTCTGTTTCGATTATACTTTCATAAGAATATGATTGATTATGGTGATTGTTAATTGTTGGATGAGTTTCATCGCTGATTTTCTCTTGACGGCATGCTTAACCACCGCCAGCATCTTCATTCTTCTTCTTAATTCTTCTTCTGACTGTTTCGACTATAGTTTCATAAGGATGTGATTGATTTTGGTGATTGTCGATTGTTGGATGAATCTCGATCGCTGATTTCCCCCCGACGGCATGTTTAACCACCGCAAACATCTTCTTCCAGTTTTCTGTTTCGATTAAGGATATGATTGTTGGATGAATCTCATCATTGATTTCTTCTTCACATGTTTAACCATCATAAACATTTTCTTCTTCCAGTTTTCTGTTTATTATAGTTTTCATAACGATATGATCGATAATTATGGTGATTACCGTAAACATCTTCTTCTTCCAGTTTTCTGTTTCGATTATAGTTTCATAACGATATGATTGATTATGGTTATTGTTAATTGTTGGATGAATCTCATCTTCGATTTCCTCTCCCACGGCATGTTTAAACACCATAAATATCTTCTTCTGATTATCAAGTTTTACATCTTGGTTATGTTTTCGATTGTTCATTTGAATTCCGAATATATGATATTTACTCTTCAATGTTCGGTAATGGAGTATAATTTTGTCTACACCGTTTTCCATTAATATAAAAACAATGCATACAGCAATCCAATTTGTGGAAATTGGGAGTGCAGATTCGATGACGAATTGGGTAAATCTGTTTGTAGTTCTTGTTTGGGTTTCCTTTTTGAGGTTAATGTAATTCAAATAATATACACATTTTGAAATTTGAATGCATAATTAAATCATATTCACAAAATCAAGAATGGGTTTATTGAGATTCGAGAGCCATTAATATATTTTTGGGGGGGCCTTTATTGCTCCCTTCTATCTAAATTTGCTGTTTTTGAATTGCGTGAATTAGTTTCTCATCTAAAATTTAAAAAAAGATTATATAATTTTGGGTTTTGAAAAAGGTTTATTTAACATAAAAACTGAAATTCTAATCTTAAAATGACAACTAAGAAAGTGGTTTAAATAGAAAGTGCTTAAAGTGCTTCGCCTACAAGCTTTTCAATTACCATTATTTTTTATGGGTTGGTTTACGGTTAAAAAGAAAGTTAAGGTGAGAAATGTAATAAAAAATCTCCATCTTTAGATGCATATTAGAATGAAATACAGTAGATTAATTTTTGTATCAAATGCGATTCATGAGTAGATTTGAAATTAAAGATGATCAGGGATTCAGATTCATTCTCACTTCAACTCTCTTTCTCACCTAATTCTTCACTTATTATTTATTTCTTTGTTTTAAATTATATGTTCCCTTGGTTTCCAAAAAGATGTCCACAACCAAAATAATACACTGTTTTATGTGTTTTTATCTGTATATTTTCTTAATGTAATTTTAGTGATTTTTGTTCGACTTTTATTTAGAAAACATATGACATTTTCAAGTTTTTAAGTAAATTAAAACATACATTTTCTGAGTTCCTAAGTAAATGTAAAAAAACACATAAGTTCCAAATTTAGAATAAATTTTAAATTAGATATGGGAAAACCATCTTACCCCCGTCACTTATTCAAATAGTTATATTAAACCCTCCTCTAAAACAGAGAAGAAATAAAAGGGAATGAAGAAATTTCCAAATTTAAAAGAAAAAAAATGAAATACATATCTAACCGATCCAAATCATAGCCAATCGCTAGTTAAATTTTGACTAAGCAAAGTAGATTCGAGTTTGCATCCACCAAATTAACAAACAGAACTTATATTTCTTTGAAAAAGTTAATAAATCTAATGAACATATTTTTGGGGGTTTTTTGAAGTACCATATTCTTTGGTGAGACCAAGTAAAGCATAACTTCAAGTCAAAGATGTTATTTTAGTAAAAAGTGATTGTTTTCTTTTGCAAATTCGAATTCAAAAATAAAAAAGCATCCAAAAATTAAAATTTAGAAAAGCATGTAAAGAGGAAAAGGTATCTAAGGCTGGCGTGATAGACTCGGTCTTCACCAAAAACCAAAAGACAAATAAGAGATAGGTTCTAGGCTTTATATTTATATATATATATATATATATATATATATATATATATATATATATACTGGGATCATGTAAGATAATATTGTTTTCATGAGACATGAATTTTACATTTGAAACTTCAGAACAAAACACTGTAAAAGTAACTTTCACAGTGTTTTTGCTATGAATGTTCGGCTTTTTTTTTACCTTCACAACATTATATTACTAAGTTTCAAGTACAAAAACCGTGTCTCATGAAAATAGCTTTATCTTACGTGAACCCAACCCTATATATAGACACACAAGTATACATATAAAAACTAGTATATAATTGGACAAAGACTTTTAATGAGTAAAGCTTCTAGAAGGTGTATATAATTATCATAATCATTGTTTTGTTTTGATTAAAGTTAGGTAATTAGAAGTTTCCTATGATATAATTGTTTTTGGCTTTGGGCTTTGATTATTTAATAATTTACACCTTTTTATACAACTTAAAAATCTCCCACCAGGACAGGACAGGAGTAGACCAGTATTAATTAAAGCAGTTTAATGAAGAGGAATTAAAAGGGGATGGATGAGTTCAACACCTAACCCAATGAAGATTACCAACTTATCTTACAAATTCTATGTTTTGTTTTGTTTTCTTTAATCAAGGGTATCCAGGCCAATTGTGCATTTCCATTTAACCTAAAATTAAACATTATCACTTACTTTACCGGATAAGCATTGGTAAGGGTCCCTTAGCGTTGGTCTACGATTACAACGAGTTCAATCTACTATCTTAACCGACACCCGATAACATTTATGACACGTTCACTAAGCACTTACCTCTTCTTAACAGGTACTTAACCAATATGTAAGTAAGATCTAATAGTAGTTGCCTTATAAGGAACTAGATATCTTCTCTATCGGACGCGTTCTAAAACCGTTAGTCCAAACGTGCGTACAATTAGCTTGGGATGTTACAAATGATATAGAGCCAGGAACCGTACCAATCTGCCAACAAGGACATTGGGCTCCCAAGAAGGTGAAAATTATAAGATCCCACAACGGTTGGGCAATGTTCCCAAATACTTAGATAAAAGTACGACGACATGTACGCTTGTACGTATACACAACCCGCGTTCTCAAAATTTAAGAACCTACAAATCCAAAAATCTTTTAGCCAACGAATTTTTTTTCCACAAAATAGCCAAAAAACTGTAAGTCAATGCCACAAGACATTTTTTCTTGCAGTGCCACAAGCTGCGACATTAGCTTGTACATCAACGCATGTGCCGCAGCGTTTCAATTTATTTTTGTGGTAGGCCCCACTTTTCATCTGGATAGTTTGCTATTTGTGATGTATTGGCTAAAAAAGAAAAACAGATTAAATGCATAACTAAAAAAAAGTGTTGGCAATGGGTGCAAATGCAGAAATGAAGGTAAAACAAAGCAAAAGCAAAAAACTTGGAACAATTAAGTCATCACCTTTTCAAAAGCATGGGGTGTACCATAGTATGCTTCTATCTAAACAGCAATCAGCAAAATAATTGAGGTGCTTCTTATATTCAAAAGAAAAAGGTTGGGAAAATGACAGCTAAAAGAGGTGCTTTTCTGGGCTTCAAAATAGCAACCCGTCACTTAACCATGTGATTTCGGGCCAACTTACGTGCACCGACTAATAAAGCTCGTTTAACTCAACGAGTCGAGCTCCATAACATCAATGTTCGACTCGACTCGTTCAAAAGCTCGATTAAACTTTACGAGTCGAGCCAAGTCATTCGAGCATACACTTTTCCAAGTCAAACATATTTATATGTTTACAAATTATATAATCAAAACATAAAAATCAATCGAGCTAGAGTAAATAAACGAGTTAATCGATCTCGAGTTCGAGCTCATAAACGAGCATCGAGCTCGAGCTCAAACATTGAAAAAATATTCAAGCTTGAGCCCGAATTTGAAAAAGTTAATCGAGCTCAAGCCCGAATTTGAAAAAGTTAATCGAGCCCGAGTCAAGATCAAGCCTGATATTAGTTTTTCGAGCCAAACACGAATAACCTGCTACTTGACTCCCTCGTTTACACCCTACGGCCGACCATGAATGGCTTGGAGTCATTACAGGTGAACCTCCATGGCCACAAGGGAAAGATGGGATTTCCACTATATCTCCCTGAGCCTTAACCGGTGTGCCACAACCCAAACGGTTAGTATGGTTAGTGGAGGTGCATTTTGTTGACCAGAGAAGGGTTAAAATATTCAGCAAATCAGAAAATGGTTAATACGGACCCAAAATCAGTAACATTCATATGTGAATATAACCAATTGCCACGAGAACGATGGTGGAGTCAACGGTAGCATAAGGATATGCAGAAGAAAATAGAAGTTAAACGGAAACATACCAACAAATCTCAGTTCACGAATAGGAGTATATTTAAATCAAAGTGCTAAGCAGAACCTTCATCTGGCTTTGGTTCATCGGGTTTCTTGGAAGTAGACAAAGGAGATGGAGAGCCCTCCGCCCCCATCTCTGTTCTAAGGTCATTGATACTCTGCTCCAGCTCGTTTATACGTTCTCCCATCTCATCAAGTACATCGGGATTAAGGAAAATTTAATACAAAAAGATTGATTATGTTCATCAGTACAATAACTATGCCAAAATTTTAATAGCATGCCAAAAACTTTTTAGGAGGGGCGAAGGAAGATCGATCAGTAACTCATACTTGACCAATCAATTAGTTAAGGGTGCGGTGCGCTTGGTATGTGGAATAGAACGAGACATGACTAAACATAAAGTTGTCCCACCTTTGCTGCGACAATAGACGAGGATAAGGGGCTGTTCGGTTGGTTTTCATTAAGTCATGTATGGATTAATCTGTCTGTATAAATTTGGAAGGTTTTTGTCTGGGAGGGTCTTTTTAATGAAAGGAGCGTGTTCTTTTTAATTGAGCAGGGCAGGTCTAGAAAAAACTTGACTTTCTACATAAAATTCCGAAGCTTGCTAAATAAGCCACTTTCTATATCATTAAGTCACTACCAAACAGTCAAGTATAGCTGACCAAATAAGTTGTGACTCCCATTAAACTCATTAAGCTGCTAACAAACTCATTAAGAAGAGGACTGTGAGAAATAATGCATTTTTTTCTGTTCCGCCAAATAGGTGAAACAACGCCAACGAGATTTGACAAGATTGGTAAATTACTAACCTACCCGTGTCAAATTAAAACCCTAAAACCTTCCACAATTCTTTCACCTGTCTACCTCACTCTTTCCCTTTCCATCCCGTCAGCATACCATACACAACATAATGTACTACTCCCACTGTCCCATGACAATGGAAGACATAACTCGGTAAAACGTTTTACTATTTATCAATGTCTAAACTCTTTGATATGACAATATAGCCAATGGCAGACCAACATCAATATCGCTTTAACTCTTTGTGATATATGTGCACTTAGCATAAAGAGTACCAAAAAAGAATGTTGCAATCTACATGGGAATCCTCAAAACGTAATTGTTGCAGGCATATAAAGGACTTTTCTTTTTATTAATTCATTTTGATCAACTTCCGTAAACAAAATATCGAAGTATTAGAGTAGAAAAAGGATATTCTTTGTAACAATCGAGTCTGACATCGTCTGAAATCTGCTTTGCTGCAGTAACAGAACTTGTCAGAATGAAATAAAAATGTCATCTGAACTGAAGATAGAAACAAACTACTATTTATATCTTACCATCTGCTGAAGAAGGGTTTGAACCTGCAGAAGAGAGATAAGTAATTAGGTAGAGTTGAGCCACATTGCCACATATATGTCTACACAAACCAGCCCAGTACATACACCCGTAGGTGGGGTCATGGGGCATGATATACAGACCTTACCTCTACCCGAAAGTGTAGAGCGGTCGTTTCCATTAAAGACTCCCCACTTGTGAAAGTGTTTGTGGAAGAGATAAAAGTTAGCCCAAAAAATTTGGGTCCATAAATATTAGATTTGGGTCGGATCAATTGATGATCTGATATAACCCATGATCAAACCAGGTGGGTCATTAAGGGTGCGTTTGGTACGCTGGACAGGGTGAGACAGGACAGGACAGAACACATTTGTCCTACGTTTGGTGTGGCTAAATGTGGAACTAAGTTGGACAAGCATGGGACACGCGTGTTCCACCATTACCCCTAGAACTAAGTGGAACTCAAAACTTTTTCCCTCATTACCCTTCTTCCCCTACCCGGCTCATCACCTCGCTTCCAGTTCCATCCCCCTTTTCATCCGCCTCCATCGCTTCCTTCATCAACTCCATCGATGGCGACCATCGACGGTACGCTTCTCTTCTCTTCGGCCCCTTCCCACCAGATTCTCTTCCGATGGCCACCACTGCTGCTTCTTCCGATGGCCACCGCTGCTGCTTCTATCACTGGTTAGGTCTCCATTTCGGCGCAGAGTCGCTTCCATCAACGTTAGGGCAACGAATACACAGCGACTTCCAGCTTCACTCCATCGTTCTTCGATACTCCAGTGAGTTTTTTTTGTTTCTTCCGTTTTCTTTATTTCAACGATGTTGAAATGAGGTTTATGATAACTGGATTAAATAGGGTTTTATGCAATTTCTTAATTGGGGAAAGATTAGGGTTGTGCAATTTCTTGTTTGGACGCCCTGTTTAAACCTTTTGTCTCTATTATCCTGTTTTCTTGGTTTGTATGCACAGATGATGTGTGAAATATAGCTTATGAAACTAGATAAAATAGGAATTGATGAAAAACTTAGTTAGTTATGAAACTTGATTAATTGAAGTACTTATTAGGGATTTTAATTAAGTATTATGATTTATTTCGAGAGTTTACATTGATTTTGAAGTACTTATTAGGGACCAGTGTTACCAGAATGCATTTCATAGTGAAAAAACACTAAACAGCTCACTGGGGGGTAAATTGGTCATCTTAACCAGTTCTGTCCTGTACTGTCATGTCTTACCAAACGCTGAACAGCTGTCCTGTCCTGTCCCGTCCTGTCTAGTCCTGTCTGCGCACCAAACGCACCCTAATGGCTTCTAAGTTGTAACTCAACCCATGAGCCATAATCCAATTAATCTAGATAGATCATATGACCCAAATCGACCAATTTGTCTTCCCTAGTATTTTAATTAGATAATTTTCTTTTATTTCTGCATACTCTGACTTCTTTTTTTATATTTTTCAAAATTGTTATTTCAAAAGCGACATTTTTTATAAGCATCAAATTTTTCAAAACACAATTAAATTTATCTAACAGTTTTTTTAAATGATTACCTTCTTTAACAACAAACTTATTTTAAAATGTGACTGGTTTATTAAGATCAGATTGATTAAAACATGACTTGTTTCATGACGCCATTTTATAAATGTGGCCACATTTTTATGATAGCAATACATGATTGGTTTTACAAGATTTGCTTTAATGTACATGACTAGCTTTAAAATTTTGACATCAAAAAACACATCACGTTTTTTAAAAATCAATATAAAAGTAGTCGTATGTTGAAAAATTTACAAACCAATCTAATTTTTTTAAACATGACCATTATTTTTTAACAAACAATTGAAACATATTTGGATTTACAAGTTTGACTTCATAAAACTGATCATGTCCAAAAACCTTATATTCATAAAAATATAGTCATGTTTAAGAAAACCTGACACCATGAAACCAATTATATTTTAAATCGGGTCAACATCAAGATTAAACTCAGTGAAAGGACTACTCACAAGTTAAAAATGGAACTCCCATACGTTAACGTAGATTCAGAAATTGTGATATTTTGTAGCAAAAGCAGGTGTACGTTAATGTAGATACAACATAAGCATTAAATGGTCACTAGCTTCTACTAACATCAACAACATCCATGCTTACAAAAATATATAAAAAAAGCTATACCCAAACTAAAAGAGCATAACCAATCCCCAATGTATGATCCAGCATCTAGTTGCTACTTGTAGATGAATGTGACATGCTAAAAAGCCTAAGCAATCAATTTTTTTGAAATAGAAATTAGAAGCAAATGTTTCAGAAACTTACAAACTGTGTCATGTCAGCAGTGCTTTGCTTAGTATCTCCTGAATCTTGTCCTTCCTGCCAACAAACGCAATCCAAATGTTTTTAAATTGACAACTGAGACTGGTCTCTTATTGAGATTGAAGCAAATACATACAATTCATAATCAGTAGATTTTCTTCATCACACCAATGAGATCACCGTCAGACAAATGCATTCTTTCCAGGTAGTGGACCAGAGTAACATACAGAAACTGAAATAACATTCCTACTAGTCCAAATAGCGTGATCTAATGAAGGGGGAACAACTGAAATTGCGTGGTAGAAAAAAATATGGCTGTAAATTGATTGAAAAAAGGCCTACATCATTACAAAATGATGTTGCCTAAAATCGTCAGGGACAACATGAAAATTCACACCAATTCGAAATCTAAACTCATTTTACATGAGTCAAAACTCAAAAGTGTTTTATTTGACGTGAGGGGTATTAAGTGTAACAAAATGAGAGAAACAAGCATTTCTTCCTCCAAAACACTTCAAAATCCCAAACCAAATCGTCTAATTAGTGTGTATTTAGGAACTCCAAATCCATGGCTTGTAATTGCAAATGGAGTAAAATAGCTTCAAATTTTGAGCTAAATAATTTCCAGATCCATATGCAGATCTCGAAATCCAAACTCCAAATACCAATTCCAAAGAGATGGACAAGTTCTACATCACCACAAATAGATTACGACGCACAGTAGCAGGAACACTTTAACTTAATACACTTCACGATATGCTGCTAGAATTACGTTCTACATTCATATCAATAAGCTTATAATCATACAGCAACTCAAATCGAAGAAAACTTCCGACTCAATAAAACCCTAACAGATAGTGTACCCATAAGCACATCATGCAAACCCAAACCTCGATAAGCAAAAGTAGAACGGAGAATCGATTGCAAGAAAATTAGAGAAAAATCGAGAAGATCTGCTTACCATTTTATCGAGTGAATGTGAATCGGTCCGAAGGAATCTCCGTTTCTCGTTCGTCAATTTCTCCCTCTCTGACTGGTGAGGCTCTCCTTTATCTACCGGAGGATTCGGGTCCTAAGAATTGTAAATGACGATTTTGCCCTCTAACTCAACACAATTTGAAATTTGAAATGGTCATTTTGTAATTGATCTTTGTATATTCAAAAATATAATTCCTGTTTTAATAGACCCGACCGGTAAATTTCATGAAAAAGTAATGTACTTTAATTTGATTGTTAACGTATTTTTAAAACTTTCATTTTGGTATCTAAGATGTAAAGTTTTAAATATTTTAGTACCCGAATAACTGGTTGAACCGTCAATCGGTTATCATGCTGATATGACGAATGATGAGATGAAATTGGATTGAATATCAAATAATACTGAGTTGGATACTACATCATTCGTCACATCAGCATGGTAACCGGTTAATGCTTCAATCAGTTACCCGAGTACTTAAATGTTTAAAATTTTACATCTTACGTACCAAAATTAAAGTTTTGAAAGTACGTTACGCAAAATATGAATCAAGTTAAAGCACGTTACTTTTTCATGCAATTTGCCCCTATCTCGATTATTTGGAAAATCTGTATTCAATCGTGTCGTTTGTTTTTCTTTAGACAATAATATTATAAAAGCAAAAAACTTAAGAAAATATAGAAAATACCTGCGAGATTCGGAGGCTAAAGGAAAGACGAAACAAAACGAAAGCTAACAAAGATATTACAAAACAAAGACTACGGAGGTGAACCAAAACCATTGTTTGGTTAAATGAATCAAAACCAAAACCTTTGAAAAATATTATATATTTCTACTCTGTAATATGTCATTATTGATTTCATGTTATTGATGTGATTTTGATTAATTGATTGAACATGAGAATATCAATTGGTATCAGAATAAGAATCTAACTGCTAGAGTATCATATTGTGATTGAAGCTGGGATTGTCAATTGGTTCAAAAATTACAATATATTAATAGGATTTTATGTGAAAATGTTAAAAAGAAAAGTGCAACTTAGGGACATTTTTGTCCCTAAAAATTGATTGACTACTAGTCAAAGAATTCTATTGGGGCAATTTGGTAAAACTACATGAAGTCCTAGGCTTGTTGGTTGGTAGCGCCTTTCATGTTCAAATTTTCAAAATGGGACAAAAAAAAAACCATATATAAATATGAAAAAATAACGTATTTTAACTTGATTCATATATTGGATAACCGATTAAATCATTAACTGGTTACCATGCTGATGTGATGAGTGATATGATATTCAACTCAGTATTATTTGCTATTCAACCCTATTTCATTCTATCACTCGCCACATTGGTTTGGTAATCGGTTAATGCTTCAACTGGTTATCGGGAGTATTTAAATGTTTAAAATTTTACATCTTAGATAACAAATGAAAGTTTTAAAAGTACGTTACCCAAAATAAGAATCAAGTTAAAATATATTACTTTTTCATTCAATTTGTCTTGTACGTAATTTTTAACGATAATAACAATGTGTATATTTTATAGCAAAATCTACATATTGGATTCAATAAATAGGGTAGGAACACATTTAGGTTATGTTTCTTTTGTGGGTAATGGTTTGATCCATGTGTTTAAAGAAAGGACAGACCTATACACTGAAAAATGTGCTGACGGTGTTTTTTGTATTTTTAGAAAATGTATGATAATAAAAAAAAGTAGAATGGCTTCGCCCGGGTTCGAACCGGAGACCTTCAGTGTGTTAGACTGACGTGATAACCAACTACACCACGAAACCTTGATGTCTTTATTGGACTTGTATATAATTATAATGTCAAGTGTTTAAAATACCTAGAACCATAAATACAAAGGATTAGATATATATATATATATATATATATATATATATATATAATATTAAAGGATAGATTTAAAATCATGTGAGACCAATCTATCTTACTGAAACCACTTTTTTACACTTGAAACTTTACAACAAAACGTTGTGAAAATAATCTTCACAACGTTTTTGCTGAAAAAATTCGTTTTTTTTTAATTATCATAACGTTTTGCTGTGAAATTTCAAGTAAAAAAAATGGTCTCACCAAAATATTATGTCTCGTTAGACACCGTAGAAACCAATCTCGACTTATACAAGATTAAATATTTGCATGCATACAAGTTGCATGTTTGCACTGAAAATGGATTGATTTAATAATTTTAGTTACACGACGAATCATACAGCTTGCACTTCTAAGAAAAGGAAAAAGAATTTAAAAAATTTTAAAAGGAAAGGAAGAATTATAGATAGTATTACAACACACCAAAATCTCCACAATTTCACTCTAGTAAGGTTGATGCCTTTTTCTCCTTCGATTTTTTGGGTGTTTCTCGACCAACGAAGTTGATATCCACGAATGATTTACGTCACACGAGTCGTCAGACAACCAGCAACACAAGCGTCCATCTTCGCCACCCGTCCACCCGAAAATCCCCTGGGTTTGGTTCATCCCGCTTCTCATACACACGCTCCTAACAACTCCGGTATGACCATCGTGAAGAACGGCTTCTGGTGATAGAATTGATCTCCTCCCTCCTCCATAAGCTACAGGGAAGTAGCCCAAATTGCCACCATTCGTGCCGCCGATGACCCATAAACGATCATCGGCGGCCGAGTAGTGACAGTCGACAAGATAATCAACCTGCAATTTTAAACAAGACGATGAATTTGCAAAATGGAAAATGTGTTCTAATCGAGCGCTAGTTTTGAAAAATCTGTGGCGCCATCCAGAATGGACGGGAGAGAGTAAAGGTGGGTAACCCAAAGAAGTGTGCAAGGTTTTATAGTTTTTTCTTTACACGGGTAATTTAGTAATTTACTAATATTACATCATCTTCTTAATTTTTGTTCCACCAACCTCGGTGTGACAAAAAAATGCATTGTCCCACTCATTCTTGTCCTATCACAGTCTAAAGTTGCACCAAGCGTGGGACAACAAGTTTTTATTATGTCATGTCCCATCTTATCCAACATAATAACAAAAAGAGAAATTGACAGAAATAGCCATTCACTTTTTAACCATTTTCTAACCCAAATTCACCTTTTAGCCCTTCCTTGCGCAGAAGGCTTACGCATATGCATAAGGATTGGTTTTCGGCAAAAGAAAAAGAATCCTTATGAATATGCGTAAGGTTTCTGCGGAAAGGATTCCACTACTATCTGCCATATATTGGAATTCTTAGGCAGAAACCTTACGCAGATTGACTAAAAAGTGAATTTAGGTCAGAAAATGGCTAAAAAGTGAACCACCTATCCACTTTGGCTATTTTTGTAAATTTCCCATAAAAATCATTGTTCTTGACAGATATAGCCATTCACTTTTTAACCATTTTCAGACCCAAATTAACTTTTAAGCCATTCCTTACACAAAAGGCTTATGCATATGCATAAGGATTGGTTTTCGGCAAAAGAAAAAGAATCCTTATGAATATGCGTAAGATTTCTGCGAAAAGGATTCCACCATAATCTGGTATATATTGGAATCCTTAGGCAGAAACCTTACGCATGTGCGTAAGCCTTCTGCATGAGGATTGACTAAAAAGTGAATTTAGGTCAGAAAATGGCTAAAAATGAAACCATCTATCAACTTTGGCTATTTATGTAACTTTAATAGAAAAACCATTGTTCTTGGAGCAATAAAAAGGCTTATTATAGGTGATGTACCTGATCTAGAGCCCAGCTATTAGATGCCAAGGGGCGTGCATCCTCAAAATTAGCTTCAAGTCTTGATTCTGTCAAATCCCAAATACTGAAACAAGAGCATATAGCATTAAGCACAAATCAATTATGAAGTCAATTTTTTTAATAGAGATTGAATCTGGTTACTCTTTTGAATAATAGAATGAAATCCCATATTCCATTTGACATAACTCCAAGGCATTGTTACTCTCTTGTATGGAACTTGAATTCCAATGGAAAGATCAATTCCAACTATTTCAGTTCCTCCTGTTTTGCTCACACTTTTGCACAAGCCAAGGGTATCCATCTTAAGTGCCTTCTAGAAACTTCCTTCATTCTATTCCAATTCCTTCCGGAATGAGTCCCTTTGACCAAAAAATTCCTTCAAACCAAATGCAACCTAAGTGTGACCAAATTGGTTCTAAACCATCTTACTAGGTGTACTTGGGTCATCTAGCCTGAGCTTGTTCGGCTTGTGGGAAACCGATATGCTCAATTATTACCTTGCCAAGATCAGAAAAATTCAGTCTCAAGCTTAAGCTAAGATAGAGGCTTGGTTCATGTTAGGTTGTATAGGCTAGGTTTGTACAGGTTCATAGAAAAGTATAAATTGCATCAACCCATCTAAGCTTGGTAGGCACAACCGAACAACTCACTATAGACTTGCTGAGCTGCCAAAGCCAAGCCATATTGGACTTGAGTTGCCAGCCTCAGTCAAATGAACAGGCTTGGCTCAGCTCAGCTCAATTCAGGTTTGTCATAGGCTTGGGCTTGCTGGAAATTAGATAGGGTGCGTTTGATACACTGGACAGGACATGACAGAACAGAGATCACTGACAAGACTTTTATGTGGAATAGACAGGAATAAAGTGGAATAAATTAGATAGGGTGCGTTTGGAAACTACATACACTTTTTATTTTGGTGTCATCTTAATCGTACTGACGAAAAATTTCTAATGATATATATTTTGTTATAGAAATATTTATATTATTATAATTTAATAAACTACATAGATTAATCAAAATATATAAAAGATATAAACAACTCATTAAGAGTAAATTGGTCTTTTTATCTGTTTTGTCCTGTCAAATTCTGTCTTATCAAAAGTTGAACAACTGTTTTGTCCTGTCTCTGCCTGTTTGGATGCCAAACACGTCCATAATGACAATGAATTCCATAAAATCTTTGTCAACTATGTGAAACATCATAACAACATTATAATGGTGAAGGGTACACAGGAGTAATAGAACAAAGTACCTTAATGTTTCGATATGAGTCAAACACCATAGCTTATCATATGACCCTCCAAAAAGCCCCACCTTGCCGATCGACGTCTCCACATTAATCACCTTTATAACACCAATTGTGTCAGCAGAATCACATCAAACTTATAACTGACGAAAATTAAAAAGCTACTAAAACCGTGAAACTGGTGACTCCACACTTACTGATTCCAGATGATCGTCATCATTGATTTCTCCACTGGTATCGAAAGTGCAAATTAATCCATCAATAGAGGCAGATAAAAGCTTATTTTGCTGATCTGGTATGAAGTGAACCTGTTATCATTAATAACTCAATATAAGTTCATTACATGATCAAGTAGTAAAACTAATAAGGGGATGTTTGGTTGGTTTTCCATTAATTTTCCTGTATGGATAAAGTTGTCTATGTGTATTAATCTATCTGTATAGAATGGGAAGGTTTTTGTTTGGGAGGATTTTTTTCATTGATGGAAGAAGCATGTTTTTTAATTGGGAGGGGCAGGTTCAGAAAAAACTTGGCTTTCTGCATAAAGCTCCCTCCTAGAAGCTTACTAAATTAGCCACTTTCTATACCATTAAGCCACTCCGAACAGTTATGTATAACTGACCTATAAGCTATGATTCCTATTAAGCTCGTTAAGCTGCTAACAAACAAACCCTAAGAACCCAAATCAAGATTGCAAGAATGATATCCTAGCCTATTATCGTACTACCAACAAACTATAGTGGGTTGGTCATAAGGGTGGTGTGTTTTTCCAAAAAGAATATGATCACTTTTTACTAGTAGTACCCTTGTGTATATACTTCTGGGACCTTTCACTGTTAGTCAGCCTTCGTATTTTTACTGTATGCCAACCTCAGGTGCTCTTGCTATTACTGGTGGCAGACGTAGGGGTTGTTTGGTCGGTTTTTCATCAAGTCCTGTATGAATAAAGTTGTTTGGGTGAATTAATCTGTCTGTATAGATTGAGAAGAATTTTGTTTGGAGGGCTTTTACATAGATGGAAGGATAGTGTTTTTTAATTGACAGGGGCAGGTTTGGAAAAAACTTGGCTTCCTGCATAAAGCTCTCTCCTAAAAGCATACTGAATAAGCCAGTTTCTATATTATTAAACCACTTCCAAAAAGTCATATATAACTAACCGAATAAGTTGTGAGTTTTAAAGTTCATTAAGCTGCTAACAAAAGGGCCATTAGTGTTCCTCCTGCTTTAAAAGTTTGCTTCATCGCGTTGTATTTGTTGCTTGTTTGCACACACTTAATTGTTACGTATTGCACTTCTTCTTGTTTTCTTGTTCTAAAAACCGGGGGTCTTCACGGTAACAGCCTCTCTACCCCAACGGGTAAAAAGGTAAGATCTGCATGCATCCTACCCTCCCCAGACCCTACCTCTGTGTGGGATATACCAGGTTCATTTGGTTTGGTTTAAACAACTGTCCAGGTAGTAATAAAGTGACAGTAAAAGAATTTCAAAAATCAAATTAATGAAAGTAATTAACTGGTTCACTTCAATTTTGCCAGTCCTACATCATCTTCTCCAAAGAAACATAACAAGAACAAACTGGGTCCACATTGTTCTTATCCACTTTCATGGAATAAGAACAAAACCATAGAATCAGAACACACCTGTGTCACATCATCCATATGAGACTCCTCCAAGCAGGCAACCTGTTTCTTGCTTCTCCGGTCCCAGAAAAGTATCTACACAATATAAACAAAAGAAGATCAAATATCAGCTCAAGAGATGGCAGGGCATAATATGACGCTATTAGGACAACCATGCATGTATATACAGATTAAAATTACAACATAATTTGTAATGCCCCATTGCCCAAAGCAACAGACAGACCATGATGGTTAATTCTATTGTCGTCTTTCAGTTGACCAGTTAATTGGAATTACCATGTACAGTGTAAATTAATTGAGTAATAAAAATCTTAAGGTCGACTAAACCATGATGGTCCCGAGTATCATAAACAACCATGATAGATTTAGCATGAATTTGATTGATAAGACGTGAGGGCTTCTGCAAAAAAGATTCACGTTGCAAAATGGCATAAAACATTTGCAAGATAAGATCATGACATTTTATCTTATACTGCTAACATGTTCATCAAAAGATTCATATAGGTTAAATGTCTTCACGAAAACAACCACTCTGCTCCATGGGGTAGAGTTCAAATCTGCGGAAATCCTACCCCCCGGAACCCACCCCCATGTGGGATACACTGGGCTCATTTAGTTTGGTTTATTCATATAATTGAATGAAAAGCTAAGTCCTGCTTCATTATACCATTACCTGAGATTTACAACCTGCAGCAAGAAGATTATCACTTGATCCACCAAATGAAAAGCTAAATATTTCTTGAGAAGGGCCAGCATTTAGACAAGACACCTGCAGTTCATGTACAAATGATCACATTGTGAAAAAACTAACTCCATCCATAATATTATAACTATATATGCACCAGATATTGTAATAAATTAATGGGCAAAATGCATCAAAAAGAAGTAAAGATTGGTTTACTTCCTATTTAGTGTACAAAGTTTCAAAATTCTCTATTCGTACCCATTTTGGTATGGGTGTTCATATAAACCACCAAACTACACAAACCTCCCACACCGCAAAACATGGTTTAGAACTTCCGTGGTGCGTTTTACAGATTGCATTTTTACCAAACCGCATGATGCGGTGCGGGTTGCGGTTTTGAGTTATCAAACCACGGTTCAAACCGCACCGCACCTCAAATTTATATATTTTTTATTTTATATATAACATATATATAGAATAATTGCTAATTTATGTAATATTTTTAATCAATTTTCTCCATGGTCTACTAACAAGTCTATAGTTTTGGACTTTGATCCATAATAATTAATTATTGTCCAATAATCCATTAGGCACTTTTAGGATTTAAGCAAACATCCACGATTAGGTCATGAATATGGGGATTCGTTTGGTACTCAAAAATTGGAACTCAAAAGCATCAAGATCAACCAGTTAGCAGTTACAAGCACGAAGGGGGATAGACCTGTTGGTAAGAGCGAGTATCCCAAGCCCTAAGAGTGCCATCAGACGAGCAAGTGTGCAATATATTCCCGGAAAATAAGATGTGATTAATACTATCTGAATGCTCTCCTCTGCAGCATTCTCCGACGTACTGACCCGTCGCCGGTGAATACAATTTCACGGTATTGGACGACAGAGACACCGCCATCGATGTCCAGTCTTCCCTAAAACCGAATTCACACGAAAACACGAATCAAACACGCTAAATCGATAAATAAACTCAATAATATTCTTGTATAGCAGGAAAAACGGAATTGTAAGAGGTTACACATAGGGTTCACATACTTTGGGACGACTTGGAAAACGTAATCATCGCCGAAGTTGGTTTGAATGGAGTTCTTGAGTGCAAATCGCTTCGATGAGCTGCAGGAATCGAGGATTTGTTCTTGAGTTACTTCAATATCCATGTCAGTAGCCTCCATGTCCGGTGGCGCAACTGGGAGGCGAGGGCTATAAAACTTCCCGGTTAGCCGCCGAGGGTTTATGTTCGTTCTTATTTAGAAATCGAGTCAAATGACCATATTTCATAACTTAGACGTTTTTTTTTTTTTTAATAAAAGCATTTATCAAATTGTTAGTAGCAAGAAGATTTAACTTTTTTAAAAACTATTTATTACCGGTTTGGCACCGGTATAAGTTGTTTATCCAAACACTCAAAAGTGCTTATTACCGGTGTCACACTGGAATAAGTCAATAAGTTATTTTATAAGCAATCCCAAACACCCCCTTAATATTGATGTTTTAATTATTTTTCTCCGGCTTTACCAAAAATACTACATAATACATAGGTCTGCAATTCTTGCGGATTCGCTAAACGATAGAATTTTAGAGTTTTTTGGTCCAAGTCCGCAATTACTAGGATGCGGCTCAAAATCCATTTTCCTTGAATTCGTAATGTCATATGGGTGCGTTTGGTACGCATACAGTACATGACAGTTGTTCAACGTGTGGTAAGACATGACATGTCAGGATAAGACATGACATAACTGGTTAAAATGACCAATTTATCTCCAGTGAGTTGTTTAGTGTTTTTTTCACTAAATGTTAACAAATACTATTTAAAAATACATAAAAATATCTAAAATAAATATTAATTAAAAACTTACATTCATAAATCAAAAGATTTAAACACATTGTTTACCAACATAAAAGCTGAAATGTTTACTATTGGGTACCAAAAAACCTAAACACAAAAGTTCATATGTTTATTATTGTGTACCAAAAAACCTAAACACAAAAAGATTTAAACACCGTGTTCAAATGTATTAAGTCACATATAAATAGTCACTAGTGTAATAGGATATTTAATTGTGTAATCTAATCATGTAAATTTAATAATCGAACATTAGGGTGTTATCGTGTAGGTGAGGTTTAAGGTACTGAAGTCTAGCGGGAATAGGTTCAACCAAACAGATGTATGATCAGTGCTGCAGATATTTTGAGAAATGTTGGTTTCATGGTTTGGTCCAACTTCGGAGGCGAAATTTGGGATCATCGAAGGGTTTCATGGTTTGGTCGAAGTCCAATGATGATGGTTTGGTCTAGTTCTGATGACAGTTGTAGACCGAGATGAAATGAGATGGTTTGGTCCAACTCAAACAACAACTACAAATCGAGACGAGATGGTTTGGTTCAGTTCAAACAACAATTACAAATCGAGACGAGACGGTTTGATCCAGTTTCATTGATGGTTGTAAATCAATATGAGATATAAGATTCGGTGGTGACGATCATAGATCGAGATGAGAGGTCTGATGACAGTTAAACTATTTCCACACTTAGGCGGAGTCAAAAGCCTTGATTTTGAAACACCCCAATCAAATTCACCTTCAAGTATAACGTCTAGTGTTTTTATTGGAATCATGTAGGACAACCCATTTTCTTTGAAAACCATGATACCACCATGAAAACCGGTGAATATGGACAAGTTTCATTTTCTTCACCTTGTTGCACCTTCACAGCAAGTAATCAAACATCTGCAGGAACTAAACCTTCATGTGAAAAAACTGAACTCCACATACACTTTTATTATAGCTTTATTTGCAGCTATAGCGGCGAAATAGCGAATAACGGTCCTGGCCAAAATATTTGTGCATGAATAGCGGTACCGCAAATAACGACTGCTTACTGCTATTGACCATAAGTTTGATATCAAATAGCGGTCACTATTATCGATTTTTCTTTACGGGTTTTTCAATTTAAATTGTATTTGGGTTTTTGTTGTGTCATTTATGTGGCCTATTTAGTCAAACTCAGGCCTGCAAACAAAAAGGAAACCGATTAAATCAACAATCAGAATAATTAGGTCAAACTTTGGTACCGATTCCAAGTCCAAAGCTATACTCATCGAGTGCAAGTCCAAAAAGCTTTAACAATTCGAGTTTTCTTCTCGATTTCACGGTTCCACGGGTTTTCTGTCGCAGTTTTCTTCTCATCTTGATACATACAACTCCTATTACTATGTTGCTTGTGTGGTTTGAATTGTTTGACTTGATATACAACATTTTAAGTTATATAAAGGGATAGAGCTATGAAATAGTAAACTCAGAGTTGGGATGGGGACCCAATTGATGTGTCACAAGAAGGCAGTGATTAAGTTGGTGATTGTCGCCTGTTAGTGTTAGAGATTCAGACAGAGGAATGCAAACTAGCAAGTTGCTCTATCAGCAGAAAGAGAGAAAGATCCAATACATGACAAGGGGGAGAAGTTAATCAAGTTTATTAGACGAAAGGTTCTTAGTTTAATCAGAAACAGACCCCGTTTGTAACCACAATGACTATATGTTTAACAATGATAACCGGGTATCTGTTATCACCCGAGGTAATCATTACGTGATTATTTGGTATATAGTTACGTGAATGCATGATAAATTGTTATATTTGATCATGTGAGTTTTATGCATAGAAATATATGCATAATATAATTATGTGCATACATGAAAAATGAGTATGCATTTCGGAAGGGAATGGGTGAAGCGGGATGGAGCAATGGTCAGCTCATCAGGGCCATAATACGATGACTACAGGTTTGAATACATACACACACACACACACACACATATATATATTCGTATTTATTTCATGGACATAATTTTGTACCGTCATATAAACGCGACAACCGCTATTTCCATTGTGGGCTTCGTTAACTGCTTAAATGGCTTTTGATTGAGGTTATCGATTTAGTTTTAGAATTTGTTCTTGGTGTCCTGAAATTTCTTTTGAAAAAGATGAAGGTTCAACAAAATGGGAAAAAAATTAAAACCATTTAAATGTAAAAAATAACAAAAAGACCCAAATACCCTATGAGTTTAATTGGTGGAGGATATAGATGACGTTTAGTTCAGGGACCAAAACCGTGATAAAAGGGCAAACCTCCATATGTTTTACATAATAAACAAAGTTTAAGGACCAATTCCATAAAACCAACATACTACAGGGACCAAATTCATAATTTACTAAAAGAAAAAACTCAAGTCGTCTTCGATCATAAACCCTAATAAACCCTCCTCCATTCCTCTATCATCTTGTTCACCTACTCCCTTCACATCCAACACAGAGAAAGATGGGTGGATCAAGAAGAAAATACAAGCGAAGCAGAACCAAGGTCCGCGTAGGGCTACCGAAGAAAAACCCTCATGTGTTCAAACCAGCATTCTCTCTCCCACCTAAGTTTCGATCTATCGTCGATTTGTCGAAAACCAAATGGGACGATCAAGGCAGTGTTCTTGAGAACTACAGGTCATTTGGTGTTGTTTCCAACCCTAATTTGCTCGGTGTCCGTTCTCGCACTTCTAAAATTATCGAGAGCGAGTCTCTCCAACTCCCTCCTCCCAAATCCGATGGTCCAATCTCTGAATTTGAGCCAATTGATTCCGGCAGCGAACTCGAAGAAGATGGTCAGTTGTTTGTTTTACTATTTACAATCTAATGCATGTTTTATGTTTCATATATTTCGATTCACTTTGTCTGTTGAGATGTATGTTGATTAGGAGCTCATTTGGTTTAGGATTGTTATTAAGTTTTCCTGAATTCAAATTCTAGGGCTTGAATATGAATCCTAATTTGAACTGTTTTAACCAATCACTTCCCATATCTTACCATAAAAAAGGGGATCTTGGAAACTTGCCTTGCTTTTTTCTTTCTTTCCAACTCTTGATTAAGTATGTGATGCCATTTCAACCATCAGAGCTAGCAGCTATTGATGGCGTAAACAGACTAAGTGTCCGTTTACCCAAATACTTACCCGGTAAGTGCTTACCGGTAGGAGTCTAACACTATAATCTATTTTACCAGATAAGATTATAGTATATTAAAACGGTATTGTATGCAACAATTTACCCGGTAAATTCTTACCGAGTAAGAGTCTTCACCATCACTTACCGGGTAAGACTCTCTATCCCTATCATCGCTCTTACCGGGTAGATTTTCAGCCCTTGTCATGTGCATCAGGTGAGGAAGTTACCCGATCCACACTTACCGGGTAAGTATTCAGTAAACGGCCCCTAAACATGCCTGGTCAGATGTAGTCATGCTAAGGGGCCGTTTACCCAAATGATTACCGTGTAAGCGCCTATCGTAAAGAGATGTCACCCTTACCTTATTGCGGAACATTCTCGGCCATCAAACTAGATTCTTGGTAAATGTCTAAAACCCGGTAAGCGCTTATCAGGTACGACTCTCAGTCCTTGTTTTGCCTCTTACCGGGTAAGATTTTCGGTCATTTCCAGGCTCAATCAGTAAGGTAAGTGATATTGGTAAGCGCTCACTGTTAAGTGTTCAGTAAACGACCTCTAAGGGTGCGTTTAGTACGTGGTAGAGGACTGGGCATGACAGTACAAAAATTTGTTGTCCCACTTTTGGTGTGGAATTAGACTGGGATAGCGAAGAACTTTGAGTAGGACAAAGATGCATTTTTTCTAAAATCTAGTCGATGAGACAAGACAAAGATTGGTAAATTACTAAACTACCCATATCAATTAAAACCTTCTATAAGTTCATTGCATAATTTTAACCAGGTAATGTGTCATTTTGGTTTTGCAGATGTAAAATCAGCACTTGGGAAAAAGCGTGCAGACGGGAAAACAGCTCCCTTGCAACCATTAACAGCCATGCAACGGCTTCATATCGGAGCACTCATGGAGAAGTATGGAGACGATTATCAAGTAAGAAATTTGCAGGCTGAGAAACATAGTTTATTTTTGTATGTTGTGTTTATTCTTCACCTCTCACTGGTTTTCTTTTTGCAGAGCATGTTTATGGATACAAAGCTTAACAAGCTGCAGCACTCAGTTGCAACTCTTGAGAAGCTGTGCAAGAGATACCATATGTATAAAGATAAGAACCCAATGCTTGTTCCTCTTTGATTTATTAGTTCTACTTGGAGAACCAAAGATGAGTAGTACCCTTAATTCTAGGAAGCTGCATTTCAAAGCAAATTTTCAACTGTTGATCCTAGTTTTGGCATTTCATTGTAATCCTATATGTTTTTGGGGTCATACATGCAACTATTTGCTTCTTTTATTAGGTCTCTTTATTTGCTATTCGGAGTAGATGTCAGTTCTAAGTACATATAATCCTCCCTAAACTCCATCTCCAGGTGGGATATATTGGCTTCATGTGGGATATTGTGGGTTCGTTTGGTTTTTAGGTCTTTCTATTTGTTATGGATTAGATACAAGGTGATGTCTGGTTGGTTTTTGTTTGGGAGGAGATTTTTATTGATGGAAGGAACTTGTGTTTTAATTGGAAGGGATGGGTTTGGAAAAGACATGGCTTTCTGCATAAGCCATTTTATATATCATTAAACTACTACCAAACAGTCATATATAGCTAACCGAATAAACTGTGAGTCACATTAAGCCTATTAATTAACAAACAGGACCTAAGTGGTTCATAAGTCGATCATTGCTAAAATAGGTAGACTTGCACTTTGTCTGGCTGTTAATTTGTTGAGTCATCGGATTTAAGCAGATTTTTCATATTTTGGTTCGAGCAAGTGCTAAAGCTTGCCTTTTTCCTAAACAAAGTGTTAAAACTTGTGTTATTTTGGAATGAATGGTCCCGGTTTTCTTCTTCATTGGTGGCTGAACCAATAAGTCTTGGTCGGGGTTTTTAACGTTGGAGAACATTAGGGTTTAGAGTGTAATAATAATGCTATGGATCAGGTTTAGAGGAAAACCGTAAAAAAATGAAAAACTGAAGAACACTCTGGTAACCGTTCATCTGGACTGTATGCACATTTGCATACAAGTAATTTGTCTGCTATGCATATGTGATAACATGCACACACGTGCATAAAAATCAAGGAACAACTTCAATTGCTTGTAATCCTTAGTTTTTCCTTTTCTTTTGGGGGTTTTCCCCAGAACCTCCCTCGTAATGCTATCCATTTAAAGATATATCATGTTTGTATATACAAAAATCGTTGCAAAAACAGTCTAAACAAACCGAAACAAGATTTCTGCACGCTGATTGTTGATGCTAGTGTTATTTATAGGCGTTTGCAAGGAAAATACTGCATTTAGATACCAAGAAATGCCCGTGACTGCGATTCCCAGTGTTCTTTTGCCTGTCGGATCCTTTCTACTCGTTCGTTTTTAAGTCTTTCCTCCCAGTATTCAGGACATCTGTTCAAGTTTGCAAACCCCAGTTAAGCATCATCTTTTGCAACTATGGTTGATTAATTATAGGGACAAGTGGTTAGTGTATCCTGATAAAGGCTTATTGATCTAACATACCTTCTTTTTAGTAGAATGTTAAGCTCATCCAAATGGAGAGCTCCTTCATAAACCCCTGCCTGCAAATCAACCAAAACAGCCCATTAAAATTACCAGTAGCATAACAAAACCAAACAAACTCATTGGAGCATCTCCAATAGTTTTTTTTTTTAAATCGAGATTTTGGAGATTTTTGTTCCAATAGATTCTTCAAAATTGGAGAAAAAGTAAGAGAGAGATGGTGAAAATCTCCAAATTTGAAGATTTCTCGAAAAATGATTACTTACGAAAGAGAAATGATTTTTGTTTAATATTTTCTACCATGGAGAATCCTTGAAATTAAATATTTAGGAGAGAAATACTATTTCATAAATTGTATTGAATATTTTAATAATACATATAACATTGTAATCTGTAAAATAAAGAAGCTGTTGGAGATGAACCTAAATTTTTCTTGGAGATTTTGATTTTGGTTCTCTATTTTGGAGAATCAGTTGGTGAGTATGCAGTTTTGACCTCTATCCCCAAGTGGGTTGTTTTTGTGAAGACTCCCAATTTATGCCAAAATTTAGCAGTAGCATGATATGTTCAATATCTACAGTAGACAAAGCGAGGTTCTTGATTTGTATACTACTACCTTTGTCTGTCTCAAAATAAGTGTCTCACCATATCAATTTTAGTTAGTGCCAAATCATATGACCACTTCCACAAGTAAGTGCTTATTTTCCAATTCTAACCTTGATTACGAGATGGAGAAATGTTTGTCTTGTATATGTGTTGATATGTAAATGTTTAAGAATACCAGGAGATATGTGTACCTCTCGACAAAGAGGGCATTTTGATGTCGGGTCTGCTGCTTCTAATCCGTCTACAATCGTTATTGATCCCGACTTGCAAGCACACATGTAGCAGAAGATGTGCCCACAAGTAAGAGACACCGAATCGAACACCGTATCCTGTTCAAACAAATACAATGTAAGGATGAACAATTTCTCCCACGAATTATGCCAAAAAAGTACCTAGTAAGATCAAAGTGATATTGTATGATATGAAGCCCCTTAGATAAAGGTTACCAGTAAAGTAAAATTCATGGGTCCAAATCTCACCAAAGTAACCGTTTGACCTTCTAAGTCAACCTAAACTCTAATCCTTAGACCTTAATCTTTAAGGGTACATTTGATACACTGTACATGATAGAACAAAACAAGGACCATTGTTCTACATGTGGCAGAACTTTAAGTGGAACAGATAAACAGAGTGGAACAAATATGTTCTACCTGCATGACATGGAACAAGATGAAACAAACCTATATTTTATCAATATAACCTAAAAAAAAAACATAATTCTCTTCTAAAACATCAAATATGCCACTTCTTTTTTATATTTTATTCATTCTTTCAATTTTATTTATTGTATTTTATACTCTTTAAATTTTCACTTTATCGTCCAGAAAATATTATTTTTATACGGTTTCTTTGTTTTGAGTAATTTGTGTAATTTATTAAATATTAATAACAAATAATATAGAAAGATATAACATAAAAATCGGAAACTACACAAACTTTTTATGTGGTGTCATTTTAATCGTTTTGACGAAAACTTTCTGAATGATATATTTCGTTATAAAAATATTTATTTTATTATAATTTAATAAATTACATAAATTAATCAGAATATATAAACAACTCAGTAAGAACAAATTGGTCATTTATCTGTTCTATCATGTCCACTTCTGTCTTACTGAACAACTGATCTATCATGTTTTATTCTATCATATCTAGACACCAAACTCACCTTAAACCTTGTATAAACATCATATAATTAAAAAAAGGCACGGTTTTTTCCAAGTGGGCCGATTAATTTGCATCTTCAAATTTTCAAGAAACCTTGATAACTCGACAAATGTCGATCTTATCTTTTTAGGGAAATCATATTCTTTAATATCGAACTTGTGAAAAGGGGAAACCGTGACTACCAAACAATTTGGAACCGGTCAATGCTTAGCCCCCGAATACCAAGTGGAACATAAACAATACATCTATGTTATATTATAAAATATTTGATAACGACTCTTAAAAACAATTTTTTATGCATGAAGTATTGTTTATTGATGCATATTACTTAAAATTTAAGATTACAAGTAAATTATGCATAAATACAACTTATTAAAGCTCCATACTTGAATTCGTCTAACTAACTACAAATAAACATAATCAAATATTGGATAAATATCTCATTTTAAATATAAAAATCTAAAATATAATTATGATAACTAACAGAATTTAATTAAGGAAATTACACCAAAACACAAGAACTTTTAAAAAGATTAATTTAATACTGATATCGATATTTTTTTTCAAAATTTTATGATATTTTTAAATTTATATTTTATTCAAAAATAAAAATATTACCACTTTCTCAAAATCACATAAAACCAATGTTTACTTAAAATATAATATTACAAGTAAATTATGCAAAGGTACAACTTATCAAAGCTCGATTTTTGAATTCGTATAACTAATTGCGGATAAATATAATCAAATAGAGGATAAACATCTTATTTTAAAATA